AAAACCTGATTTTTGCATTAGTCAAACTTAAAACTTGATTTTTGAATTGTGTATAGTTAAATTCCTGACTTTTGAACTCTTCCCCTAAAAGTTTATGTGGAACTAGCCCAAACCACATGGTTCCATTTAGTGCGGGACAAAACTCTCCAATCGAATCTGAATCGAATCGAACAATTCAGTTCGGCTCTTCTTAAATTATATACCCAAACAGGTATTAGAATCGAAAACCGACGAATTTGGTTTGATTCTCTTTTCTAGAACAAGAACTAGATCTCCCTAATTTTTTAAATTAATATTTTAATTTTTTCAAAATAATATTGTCAACTAATTAATTGAGTCCAAAATATCATTCTTCTGTTTCATTTGTAAACTAATTATTTGAGTCCAAAAATCATTTTCGTATTTTCAACGTAAGCCCAACTTCGTAATTTAAATTTCAAAGAAACAAAATTGAGTGACCTGAGTTTTTATCAATCATTCTATCATTTCTCAAATAAATGAAATTGAGTGGCTGTACATTTCATCTTACTATTTTTCTACAATATTCATTGAATTTTCTCCACTTTGATCAAATAATTTTTCACGCTTTAATATATAAATATTATAATTTATAGCTTGTATTCAAGATATTTATCGTGAGCTCACGTGTTTTTATGCTTTCCTCTCTCTCAAGAGCTACTTTCCTTTCTAATTAATTATCACGCTTCAATAATATATAAAACATTACTACTTATAACTAGTGTTCAATATATGCATGTACGACAAATTTCGTATATTAAAATATAGAAATTGTTACAAATTGTATTTTGATAAATACAAATGAATATTGTTCTTGCGACTGCAACAAGTGCACAATCCTCTGATTGATGATATGAATATTTGAAGACGAGGGGTCATGTAGCTTGAATCTTGGACTTCAAGATTTGTTGAAAACTTGACTCGGGTAGAACTTGACTTGTTAGACTACTTGGATTTGCTTGAATTTAAAGAAGACTTTGATCTTCTTGTTATTTCTGGACTGACTTGAGAGAGTTTCTTCTCTTCCACTGACTTTTGGATTTCTTCTGTACTTGTGAATTTTTCTGCAACTTTTCACTTGTTATTTATTTATGGACCTTTGGTCCTATTTATAGAGAAAATGGTAACCACTATGTAACCACCCATTGTTTGATTTTATTTGATTTATTTTATTGAATTTTAAAAGTAGGATGGACGTCTTTCATGAGCTTCTTTTATGTGGACTCTAAAAGACTTAGTTTTAATTGCCTTCAGTGGGCTAGTTATTTGAAATCAACCCAATACATTAATTATTATTATACATTTTTTTAGGGGAAGAGTTCAAAAGTCAGGGATTAACTATACACAATTCAAAAATCAAGTTTTAAGTTTGACTAATGCAAAAATCGGGCTTTTGTTGATTAATTAAAAATATTTATTAATAAAATATTATAAAATCATAGTTATATAATTAAT